AGTGAGGTTAGCAGGGGGTGCTCAACCTGTGGTCTGTGTGGGTCCTAATGCCCCAGTATAGTGATGGCGACTCTATTCTGCTCAGTGAGCGCCGTCTTTCGGATGAGACGTTAAACCGAGGTCCTGACTCTCTGTGGCCATAAAAAATCCCAGCATGTACTTCAAAAAGAGTAGGTGTTTAACCTTGGAATCTTTGCCAAATCTGCCAACTGGCCTCTTTCCATCATGGCCTCAAAACCCTCCCCATATCAGAATTAGCTTCATCACTCTGTCTCCTCTCCACCAATCAGCTGGTGTGTGGTGTGCGGTCTGGCGCAAAATGGCTGCCGTCGCATCATCCTCGTGGATGCTGCACACTGGTGGTGGATGAGTAGATTCCCCCCAATGTGTGTAAAGCGTTATATAAATGTAAGGAATTATTATATTTTAGCGATCATGAAATGAAGCTATCTGAACCAGTCAACCGTTAAACTTAAATGTATCGGAAAAAAGTTCATTACTCAAAGCTTTTCAAATCAGAGGTTGACGAGGACCTCTGCTGGTTAAAGTTTGGGAAAGCACTGTTTCTCAAAAATGTCAAATGTTTACAACCGGCCAACTCAATCATGTAACAATACAACAATAGTAATATAAACAAATTACTTAATTACTGTGTTTTTTTTTTTTTTTTACATATAAGGTATGTTTCATTACACCACCGATGACTGTAGTAAAATCTGAGGTTTTCAAAAGCATTTATGCTTATTGGATGCAGTCCTACACCCACACACTTGTTATGAGCAGGGATCGAACCGGCGATTCCTGCATGGGAGGCAATTGCTCTAAGGAGGCAGCTAAGGGAGTGAGGCTTTTGCGCCGCACTTACCAGCTAGCCTCCATTATACACTTCTACAAAATGTTGTGGCATTCTTTAAAAATAGTTGTAAATAATACACTAATACAGTTTAGTATGGTTCAAAAGCGTTTTACTCTAAATTACTACTGTATTTTAGTTTAATAACTGGTTTGTGTGACCGATACAGTGCTTTGAAACAGAAGAAATGTATCTAATCGATCCCTCAAGGGTGTTTAAACCTTTGAATCAAAATTCGATGCAGACACAGGTGTATAGATGAAAATGATGCTTCGGACAACACTGATCACATGATTATAGCAAAACGAATCAAGTTCCGGCATTCACTAAGAGATGTATGTTTTTTTTGATACATGCTTTGAAGCCTCAGTGCACAAAGTCATAACACTACTATCTTTACTTCTAATCACAAACTATCCCCTTTATACTTAATTCAAAGAAGTATATATATATATATATATATATATATATATATATATATATATATATATATATATATATATATATATATATATATATATATATATATAGTAATTAACAGGCCATATCTTAAGCAGGTAATAAGCCAGTAGTTAACAGACACTTGAGCTAAAGTGTTACCATGATTGTCCATTTCAGAGACGCCCTAGTCTCATATTTTGCGGGCTGTTTTAAATAAAGAAGAATTGTATCACTTAATGTCTTTGACGTCCTCGATTTCACAATGGCTAAATGTCATCTAGTGTCTGTAGCAACAGTTTGCCAACAACAATAAAGCCATTTGAAGGTTGACTGCCCCACACATAGTACTTTTGTAGCAAAGGCATTTATTTGAGCAATTATGTTTTGGGACAGATGTGGTGGACAGACTCTGTGGTTCGTTGTAAAAGTCTGTCACAAATCTGCAAAGTTTTACAAACCTGATGTAAGTTGATGCAGGAATTACAACTGGAATTAATGTCAACCTAAAAAACCTCTAATATAAGCATTTATTTGTTTTAGCAATGTTGAATACAAAATATCAATA